TCACAAGCGGTGGGAATACTCAGAATTTTAGGATTCGATCCTTGAAGTATCTTGCACGAGTAGCTACCGGTGATGTCTGGATCGTTAGGGTGTACATCGGCGATCTTTCCTAATGGTATCTGTTCGTTGAAAGAGTGCACTATCACGTGAACCGATCTCGGTGATGATGGACTGTCGTTTTGATCCATCACGATCACAGTTATCGTGTGCTCGTTTCTCATTCTCGGTACACCAGAGTCCTCCACTTCGATCTGCAAAGATTTATTCGAAATGAATCACACTGTGTCGAATTACGTAGAAAGTTTCCAATCTAGTGGTACAACCAATGGATTCTATGTGAAAGAAAAAGAAGAACAAAATCTTTTCATTTAAGACCTCGTTTCCAAGAAAAAAGAATTTGAACGTGCTCAATTAAAAATCGGCGTACTCGATAGATTTTAAAATTTAATTTTTCCAAAGACATCTTACAGAATCATGTTCCATACCCTTCACTTATTTTTCTAGGTAGAAATTTATTTTATAATAATAAATTTTTAACTTGATTTCTTCGAAAGCGAAGGAAAGAAAGAAAGAATTTCTTTCTTTTTTCTCTATTTTTTTTTTCACGTAGAATTTCCCGGATCGGCGATACTCTGGATTTGTTCCAAAATTCGACAATTCTCCACTTACCACAAGGTCCAACTGAGGCATAGCCTCTCTGTCCAAACTTCTCGTCGTTTTCAACACGCCGGTGTGTTTGTCCAAAGTAACCATGTCGCTCTGCCTTCCGCCGACCAACTTGTACGTAAACGGCGCTCCGTTCGGCGGTAAATCAGGATCGGTCGCGCTCAGTGTGATCACGACCGTGCCGGCTGGCTCGTTTTCGTTCACGTAACCGAGCACTTCCGGCGGATCGAAGATAGGCCCGTTGTCGTTGATGTCCAACAGTTCAATGTGAACGGCCGCGGTGCCAGTCTGCGGCGGGGAACCAGTGTCGATGGCACCGATCGTCAGATCGTACGCCGGGATCGTTTCGCGATCCAGTTGCTTCGCAGTTTCGATGTCCCCGGTCTGCGGGTCCACCTTGAACGCCTGGCCTACATTCCCGCCGATGATCGAATAGGAGAATTGATTGTTCTGCGGCTTGATGTCCTTGTCGACCGCTCGAACGGTCAACACTCGCGTCCCGTGTGCCGCGCCCTCGGACACCGTGGCGTCGTACGTGCTCTGAAGGAACTCTGGCGGATCGTTCCCATCCTGGATCGAGACGATCACTTGTGCCTCGTCTGTGTCGTTGCCGCGGATTCCACCGCCGTTCTTCGTCATCACGGTCAACACCACTCTGTTCTGCGTTTCACGGTCCAGTCGCCGCGAGACACGAATTATCCCGGACTCGGACCCGATGGAGAAACCGCGATCGTTCGACGAGCCGACGAACAGATAGTAGACCTTGCCGTCCTCGCCTGCGTCCTGGTCGGTCGCCTGGACCAGACCGACGGACGTGCCGACATCGGCGCTCTCTGACACGTCCATGTGGAACACCGGCTGAATGAACTTCGGGTAGTACTCGTTCACGCCTGTCACGTGCACGAGAACGGTCGTGAAGCCGACCATTTGCGGATTGGAGTCTGGATTGGCGGCGACGATGTCCAACGTGTACTCGTTCGCCTCCTCGTAGTCGAAACTGATCAAGGACGTGATCTCGCCGGTGTCCTCGCGAATGCGAAAGTGATCCTTGCCCGTACCACCGAGGATTTTGTACTGGATCACCGCGTACTTTGGCGAATCGATGTCTCGAGCGATCACCTGCGATCAAAATTTATAAAATTTTTCCAGATTTTTTTTTTATTATTATTGTATATGAATATATATGATGGTATAATCGCTAGGATATTCGCTTAATTTATAATTAGTTTAGTAAATAGTTTAAAATTAAATATATCCAAATTCGTATCGCGTAACACAAATTGCTCATAAACGTGATAAACGTGTACGATTTTTATTCGTTGAACTTGGAATTTATTATTTAGACGTTGAAATATTAGGATTTCTTGAATCCTAATGTTCGATGAAAGTTCTATAAAATAATGAAAGAAAAAGTAAAAGAAAATTTCAATTTTCAAGATCGTGCTAGATCTAATCACGAGACTTTTGGATTGAATCATTACAATTTACGAGAATAAAATTCTCACTCTCTACACGATGTAAACGAAATAAATTCAGAATTGCTAGAAGACTTTACACTTTAAAATGAGGCCAAATAAATTGTTACACAATTTTTCCTTTTTTTAACCAATTTAAATCACAATTTAAAATATCGATGATTTTTCATCTTTGTTAGTTTTATTATACTCTTTGCAGTAACTCCTAAATTTATAATTGCAACTCTAATTCCTAATCGGATTATACATGTTTCTCTATATGACAATAAATGACGAATCACAGCGAGAGAACGCGGAATAAAACACTCGCGACAGTACCTTGTAAACGAAACTATCCGGCGGAGAGTTCTCAGGTAGGTAGGCCTCGTAAACGCTTTGGTTGAACGTCGGCGGGTTATCGTTGATATCGGAAACGTTCACGGTCAAGATGGCGACAGCCTGCTTGGGCTCGAATCCCAGATCGGTGGCAGTGATGTTCAACTTGTACTCCTGCACCAGGTCGTAATCCAGAGGCTCGAGTATAGTCACCGCCCCGGTGATCGAGTGCACGAAGAACTCGTTCTTCTCGTTCCCGGCCGATATTTTGTATCTTATCATACCGTTCGGCCCGTCGTCGCCGTCGGTGGCGCTCACCGTCAAGATAGTAGTGTTCACCGGCTCGTTCTCCGGTACCCTGACCTGGTGACTAACAGCGGCGAAAGTCGGCGCGTGTTTGTTCTCTCCCGATATGACCAAGGTCAACGAGACCTGGTCCCTCTGCGGTGGTACACCTTTGTCAATCGCTTGGACCTTCAATAGGAACGTCGTCCCCACCGGCACGTTGGCCAGCGAGTTTCGCACGTACACCCATCCGGACTTTTCATCGATGGAGAAGTACTCGGTGCCATTTACGTTCTCCAGCGAGTAGCTGACCTCTGCGTTCACGCCGAAGTCGGCGTCGTCTTTCGCTGTTAACTGCACCACTCTTTTGCCAACCGCGTAGTTCTCCGGCACGGGATAGAGGTAGGATCTTTGCTCGAATCTCGGCGCGTTGTTGTTCGCGTCGACAACGTTCACGTAGACCACCGTCTTCGACGACAGGGGTGGTTTCCCGTTGTCGGTGGCTACGACCGTCAGCGAGTAGAGATTCTCCGGCGAGGAGGGACGATGAGTGTGCTTGTACTTGAGTGTCTTCTTGCTGAAGACGTCGCCGGTGGCTGGATCGACGGTGAACAGGTCGGACGGTTGCAACA